CTAAACCCTCAACCCTAATCCTTAACCCCTATACCTTAAGCCTTAATCGCCAAACCATAATCACTAAGCACTAAACCCAAATACCCACCCCTGATTCCGGGTAGCTGAGGCCGAAGCTCACAGACGACCTTCTGCCCATCACTTGGCCCGTAGAGGCCCGCAGAGAGTGATGAGGGTTTGTGTGTGGGGTTCTGCGTTAAGGATTTAGGGTTTGGGCTTTAAAGTTTGGGGTTTAGAGTGGCCTTTACTAGGGTGGTATAGACTGCGACAATCATATAAGTGACCTTTGTTTCCCATTCATGTGTTTCCGGGCCTCTATGTGCAGAAGTTAAAAACCCTGAGCCCAAAGCCTGCAGCCCTAAGTCCTAAACCCTGAACCCCAAACAGCCGTGCTTTATGAGTTAGACCTCATGGGTTACTTCCAAGACGATGCTACAGCATGAATCACGCTCATTTTGTTACCTTCATTCAGGAATTGTACCTTTTCTTCTTAAGATCCAGTAGTACTATTACACACCAGACTGTTCGAGTTTTCCCGCGGCAGTCATGGCTTCTGTTCCTCTCCTCGTCCTCCTGCACCTCCTCCGAGGCTCTATTTGAACCTTTACGTACCCCAAGCCCTGAACCATAAGCTCTAAACCCGACATTAAAAAACCCGAACACTCAACTCCCAACCCCTAAATCCCAGACCTTAGATTCTAAACCCTCAACCCCAACCCTCAACCCTTAGATCCTTGACGCCAAGCCCCTAGTTCCTAAGTCCCAAAACTAACCAAAACTAACCCTCCACTAGCTCAAGTCTAAACTCCTAGTATCCCCCTTACATAACCCCTAAAATGCTCTCCTGTATAATCCCCCATATAACAATCCCTTTAGGGGAGACTCTAGCTCATGTAAACCCCAAACCCTAAACCCTCAAGCCCATATAAACTTACCATTACTTAGGGTTCACAAACCTCCTTAATCTCAAGCGAAACTGAACCCCCGAAACCCTAAGTAATGGTAATAAACCTTAAGCGCTAAATCCTAACCCCTAAGCCCCAAAACCACATAACCCTCAAGCGCCTTGGACAGCAGCCTGGCGCGCAGGCCTTGGCTTCACTGAGCGAGGAGATCTGCAAGCTTGTGAAGGCAAAGCCCCTTGATCCTGGACTGACTCGTGAGTAGAAAGCTCAATCCTGAAGCCTCAACCTGGCGGGAATACCTACTCATTCCTCTGAGAGATAATATAGGGATTATTTTGTAGTATGGGCATTATCTAGGGCGTATATAAGGATAATGGAAAAGAAATGGAAACTACTACAGAGAAGTGGTGGCTCTGCTGCCCCGAACTTGAACCTCAAATCCTGACCATCGAGTCCCATTAGCTTACCAACTGTGATGTCCCCAGAGCCAGGAAACTCAACTTTCCCTCTGGGCGCTATCCCGCGAGGCTGGGAGTCTGATAGGCTCTGACACGGACATCAATCCAAACCTCCTGCAGTTCTGATCGCCTGGAGTACTAAAGGAACACAGGGCGCAGCGCTGGCACAGTGCTGTCTTGGAGCTCTGGATGCACAAGCGATCATTCCGCACGGTGGTCATGCAACGTGTGGGAGGTGTGGTAGTTTTCGGGTGTGCAGTTGCCCGTGTGCCGCATGCTGCATCGTGTATTGGGCATGCCCGCTGCCTTGCCGCTGGATTCAAAGGATGTTGGCCTCACCACTTGGTATCTATCAAGAAAGATGCCCTCCTATTCCTTTCAAGTTGGCTAGTCTTGGTTCTGCAAACTCGCAAATTGGATGCCTGAGAAGCTTGCAGGTTTCGACAGCCCTGGCATCAGCAGGAGAGGCAGGAGGCAACTCTAGCCTTTTACCACTAGTGTCAAGTGTCCCTGTTGCTACCACAAAGCCTACGATGATGATTATCTCTGGTGGCCACGGATGTTGCCACAATTGCTATGGCAGTAACTGTGGCTTCTACTAAGCCAAAGACTCCTGGCCCTAAACCTTGAACCCCTAGCTTTGAAAGAAGCTAAAGCTCGAGCCTGAGGGCTAGACCATCCCGAAATCCGAAAACCGTGCGTAACCCACACCCCCAAAACCCCCAACTGCCCTTGGCCAGGCGGCAGAGTCCATGCGGGGCCCAGTCAGCTTCGATGATCTCCTCTGGGCAAGGTGGGTGTGCAACGCAGGTAGTGCGGAACCCACGCGGTTTAAGGTTTAGGGTTCAGGGAGTGTTCAGGGTTTAGGGTTTAGGGTTTGGATATGGGGACTCATGGCTCCTCACGGAGGTTAGTGCCGGAGTGATGTTGGCCTGACAGATGATATTCCAGGATTTGGTTAGGATCGCTTACTAACACCTGGATCATGTGTGCTTTTTGTTGCAATCCGCCAGAAGCTGCCTACGTCACTGACTGCAAAGTACGGGTGTTCTTCTAAGTCCTGCCTGAAATTGCGGACCTTCATGAGGACATGGGGGTCCCTCTTGTAGCTTGGTATAGCTTCTAATATATTCCCTTATAAGGAACCCATGTCATTGCTTTTATGGGAAAAATTAGACTGTAGCTCACATCAATGTCTGAAAGAGGAAGGGGCAAGCCAGGTGTCTTTTCGACAGCCGCGCAGTGTCCTTGGAAATCAAGGCGGCCACGCCATGAACCGCGTCTACCTTACTTAAGCTCTAGTCTAACCTCATTATATAAAGGGGGTTACAGGGGACAAATAGCGGGGTTAACAAGGGGGATACTCTGAGTTTGGATTATAGCTCACTTGAAGATACTTGGAGGTTCATCAGTTCTGACCTCTTGAACATGCAGGGCCATGGAGATCATGTATGTGGCCTTGCTGTGGATTTCATCCACTTTCCCAGTCCAATTTGACCGACAACCTAGCCAATGTCTAAGTGGGCTGTTGTTTAAAGTAGAGGCGCAACTCAACAACGCCCTATGAGGTTATTTCTCCGAAACGAGTGTCCCCTGCCAATCCTGCACATATTCAACCCCCCGCCCCCTTATCTTTAGATGTTCCCAATAGCTCATGGTTTACCGTTTTACCATGATGGGAATATTTAGTAGTTATAGTTTTCTTAGGCGAGGGATAAGCCCTCCCAGGATCGTCGGACCTCCTCCTAGCGACCTATGTTTAAGAGCCAATACTGGCGCTTGAAATGGGGAGTGGGGGAGTGAATGTAGGGACTCTTATAAGGGTATATGGTACTTTCCCGAAATAAGACCCCAAAATGCCAGGATCCTCATTATGGGGACCCCCAAAAAGGTACCCTTAATTTTGGGGACACCCCCACATACGGACATTCTACAGGGATTATGATATCCACTCACCACTCTCCCTTAAGCACCAGCAAGAGCCCATTGACTGGCAGGTCGATGGACCAGCAATTCCCGGAGTGTGCCAGCCCCAGCATGTTCACCTGAGTAGCATCTTACACAGGAATACGGTGGTCTCAAGATAGAGTAAGATATGTAACTGAGTTAACAGCTAGCTGCTGCTGTTGGAAAAAATTCTTACTGGGCTGAACCCCCTGAAACACTATCCACCTTTACCCTCAACAACAAGACCTCACCAAGAAATGCACCCTATACAGCTCCAAAGTGAAAGGCTCTGACTATGTAACAATCACGTGAGGTTGAGTCTTCGTTCCTGGCAGCAGGATCCATAGACTGGATGTAGAGAAGGGGCGTTCTCTCTACAAGAGACAACCTTCCTGTGGAATACAGTTCTATCTTGTGATTATAGTCCCCCTTCTGATAGAATATGGCTTTGGGTAGATTATAGTAAGATCCCCATAATACCCCATATTCTATCTACTTAAGGGGGACTATGATCAGGACGAAGAGAAGTTCTTTGTTTCTGGTTGTTAGGTGCGCATCTCTCAAGAAGGAACTCCCCGGCATGTCGGTCCTCAGCTATGAGGACTGGAAAATTAAGTACACCCTAAACCCTGAACCCTAAGCTCTAAACTCTAAACCCTGAACCCTCAAGCCCAGATAAATGCAAAATGTATAGGGCAAAAGTTAAAACGGAAACTCTGTCAAAAGTCGCTCAAAACTCCCGACCTGAACCTTATACAATTCGTATAAACCTTAAACTCTGAACCCTTAATCATATGGTCTTGCCTACCTTTGTTGAGGCAGCTTCCTGCTCGAGTCGTTTGCTTGGCTCCGGAGGCTAGGGGTTGGATGGAGCGACTTCTGGGTTGCGGTGTTTGGGTTCATTTAGGTTTTCCTCAGCAAGTCCAGGCAAGATGGGGTACATTCTGGGCATAGGGTTGTTTCGGGGTATGGATTTGGGAATTCTTTGGGATCATGCGAGCCCTTCATAAGGCCACGCAGGGTCATTTTGGGCACTGCCCCCCCATTGACTCAACGTGACGGGTTCCTGATCCGATTCATTCGGCGGGCAGAGGCGGAAACATCAATTCATGCAGTGCCTCTTCTGCAAACTCGTGTTTCAGATCATGCCATCTGTTTAAGATATGCCTGAATATCTTACAGGGGGCGCACTACTCGTGGTATGGCTTTGCTGCACTTGCATTGATGACATCAGGTGGACTTGCTGAATCACAGCTCCACCGGTGCCACGTCCTTGGCATGTTTCCTGTGCGTCGCAAGAGTTGGAAAGCAACAGCTCATTTCGGGAGACCATGCATTGATAAGAACCATGGTAGGGTGGGCTGGGTGGGAGCCAGTCCGTGTATGAGGTACGGTTCCTTTTTGGGTTTACATGGGTGTTGATATGACTCTTTTAGAACGTTGGTGTGTGTACGGACGATTGCGATGCTGGTGTCTCAGTCCTTGCACGCCGATATCCCAAAAGCTTGAACATCAAATCCTACACCGCGCACCCTGAACCCAAAATTCTGTGAATCCCTTACATCCCACACCCTAAACCAAAAAATGTGTGAATTCAGGTCTGCGCCCCGCCATTCTTTGACAACCAGCGGCGCACGCTGATTGTGCCGGCCTCAAGCTTCCCAGCATGTGCAGGGTTTGGGGCGTATTATTTACATATCGGGAATACCTAAGATTGGGTGGGGGGGGGGGTAAATATTCGGGGACGAGTAGGGTTTGAGGTAAAGCAACACCTTGGAGAATGGCGCGTTCAAGCTGCATGTATTTGCAATGATATGAGGAATCTCCTCCAAATTCTTCATGGAATGGATAGAAGGCATCTGCCCAGCAGCTACTACAGAGCGGCTTGGCAGAGACGGCACAGGGACCTGTTCAGAGTAATTAGTCATATCGTGTACTCATATCGTGTACTGTAGGTTTGAGGGAATTTAAGAATATATTGCGAAGTGCTCGATGGAAGGTCGTGGCAAGGATGAGTTAAAGATGCACACGGCAGATATCAATGCAGCATACAGCAGCAGAACATTGATTAGAAGCGCGGATAGAATCAAAAGGCTAGAAGGAAGTGTTAGTGTTCCGAACAGCAAAGCTGTACAGTCATTCCAAGAACGAGACCATCGCAGTAGGCAGCGCAGTACCTGGAAAAAGAGGCGGAGGAGGAGGAGAACCACTCCCAGGCTCCGACTCTTGAAGCCTTTCGACTCCCACACCTGAAAGCCGCAACATGTGAGCTATAAGTAGTCGAAACTCCGTAATGGGGGTTTAGATAGGGGTTTACATAAGGGTCTGCTACAGGGATTATTAAGGGGGATACAAGGAGTTTAGACTATAGCTCATGTACGTATCAGTAACGACTTCTGCATGCCTGCATATTTTCATTGCGCCTAAGGTCCCAGAACTGAAGCCTTGCCTGACAATTCTGGAACCCTTCGCGTAGAAGCCTCGATGATTTCGCATGTTATTCCGATATCGTCCTTGGCAATTTTTTTGTCAAGAAAATCGGGCCTCTAGGTTGCCCTGAGCCCCTTACTTTTATCCTCACACCCTCAACAAAAAAAGACAAACCCCACCCAAAAAGCCCAAGCACGCAGCCCTCAAACCTAAATCCTCAACCTGTGAGCCGTAAAGGCCACATATACCATGAAAACACTACCAACCCTGCCAACCCTGTACACTCCACAAGCCCCATTTCAAAGCTCGAAACCTGTATGCGTATAAGCCTTACATGCTTAGCCCTGAGCCCTTCGGAAAAAAATCCTCAGCCCTAAGCCCGCTTCAAAAGATAAGCAAGAATACTAGTAATAGCAGTAGTAATGATTGCACAGTAGTAGTAATCATAGTAATAGCAATAACACTAGTAGTGATAATAATGATGAACATTTTGTTTTCAACATCCTAAACCCTAAACCCTAAACCCCTAATCCCCTAAACCCTAAACCCCTCTGCGAAAACAAGGTCGAACTCGCCGCCCCTGCGAAATCCGGCGGCGAGGCGGACGGCTGTTTCCAGTTTGCTGGGTTTGCCGTAAAGGAACTTGATGTAAAGTACTATATATTGGGTGTATATATATATATAGAGTACTAAATAGGGTGTTAAGGAACTTAATTTAAGTTATTCTAATTGCGAACCATATTAGTTAGTATAGAAACCAATTATGGTAACGTAGATGAAGGTCCTTAACAGCAAGCCAGTTTACGGTTTGGTGTTCGGGGTTTCGGGCTGTCCATTGCTCAGCCAACATGCGGGGCTCGATCTGGGTTCTCAGGGTGTCCGCTGGGTGTTATCATTGTTCTCACTGCTATTATTACTGCTATTGTTATTGCTGCTAGTATTATTGCTAGTACTACTTCTATTACTATTATTATTATTACTATTACATTACAACCGCCACTAGTTCTACTCTTACACTTACCATTACCATTACAGCAATTGTAGGTTCTAGGTCAGTGTCCAGGATCACTCGCGCCACCTCTGCTTCAATTGTGGTCAGCACAACCGACAGTGTCCCTGATCTGACGATCTGCAGTTCCGATGGATAGCTGTTGGGTACTGCCCCCCCTCAGTAACAGCTGGATAATAAATNNGGGGGGGGGCAGTACCCAAGATAGCTGTATCAGCCTCTAGCATCAGATTCTTAGAAGCCCCCTTAGTTTCAAAGACTTTCAGCTCACGGGGGCACACTGTGAAGCTGCCCTGCCATGGCTATTGCTGTGGCAGTGTGTGTTTAGCTGTTGTCATCCTCGTTTTTGCGCTTCAGGACCTAAGCAAGCCCTGATATACCCATTATATACCCGTTATATACTCCATAAACCCCGTGGATAGGACCCGGAAAACAGGTAGGTTGGTGATGGCCGTAGAATTGGAAGTATAGCCTGTTATCTTGTGTGGGGTGAGGCCTGAACATGGGGATCCAAGCCCGTGGTTAGATCAATTCTTGATTAGGGTTTAAGGTTTAGGGCTCATGGTTTAGGGTAGTATGCAATATACAAGGAAGACCCTTACAATCACCCATCAAACCGTAAAGAAGCGGGTGTGCTGCGGCAAGCAGCCATCAGTTGTCAGGTGTGCCTGTCGTATGGACCACTCCAAAATTGGGCCTTGGCCCCGGATATTCGAGAAAGCTGATATGGCAGGTAGCCTTCTGGACCCTTGCGCAGTCTCCGGGATGTTAAAGGTGTCCGCTCCTGCGTGAGGCTTTCTCTGAAGTTGTTTTGTTTGAGTGGTTCCGGCGAAGCATGCTTCATGGGAACCCCTCTGCGTTCTGCTGTGAGCGATGAGCCGTTGAGCATGTGCTTGCGCGACATCTCCCAGATTGCCAGAGATTCATGCATCTGCAACAGCTTCCGCAAGGCATCACAGGAAGGGGTAAGGAGTTTTGTAATCAACAGCTGGAAAGCAGATCCTTTGACCTGGTGGTGCCTTACCCTACACATTTTGATTGATGGCTGTAGGAGGCGAGGGAGCTCTGAGGTCTGCAACATGAAGTCTCAGTTACAGGGCCAACTTTGGAAACTCAAACCCAATCATTCACTCAACAAGGCTGAGGAGCCTGATGGAAAGCATCCTAAAGCAGGTGCAGCACACTCTAGATGTGCAGATAATCACAACAGAATAGCATTACGAACTGTAGTTTCTGGTTTTCATGGAGTCACCACTAGAGTACCAATATGACAAAGGCCAGACTAAGAGTAGTCATCATACAAACATTGGCCATGATAGCGGTAATGCAGAAGAACTCCTTGTTTCGGCACAGGAGTTCCTCTTCTACTACGGCTTCTGTCCGCAGGTTGTGCTGAAGATCGCATGGGATTGTCCAAATCGTTCTTGTTCGGGGCTCTCCGTACCGAGGATTTCTTGTCCTGAGGTGTGTTTCGGGATGCCTTCTTTTGAAATGTGTCAGCATCATTAATGTCATTAAAGATCTTCCTTTCGGGATCCTTGTAGGAAAATAGCCGAAGCCGAGGATTTTCGAGGCCCGGCCACGGTTGGATGTGGCAGTGCCTCAAGACTCAAAACACGGGTGCTCCGTAGCAATGCTAGTGATTTATAGGGTTTAAAAAGGCATCATGGGGGTTATTGCTGCCACGTCCAACTCGAAAGGCTTCTCTGAGCCTTCAACAGGCCAACCAGCTGAGACAGTCGAGTCTCCGGCCTTTACTTAGTGCGGGATCAAGGAAGGCTAGCAAAACAGAAAACCGATCATGAACAATCATGCCCAATTCTTCGTTTCTTTGCGAACCAGCATTTTCTCCTAAACCCTAGGCCCTAAGCTTTGAGATTGTGAAGGCCAATCCGCATGACCGACTCATCATCAACGTGGACCTCCCGGATGACGAGAGCACCGCTGAGAAGGAGGTCGGGCGATGCTGGGTTGCAAAGTCTAACAATCGCAGAAACAAATCATGGATTCCTTCTTGGGTCGTTCGAATTTAACCTTTAAACTTACAATGTAAGTTTAAAGGTTAAATTCGAGTCATAGCCATGATGTTGGTTGCAAATCCCAGTAATGCTTGTCAGAAAGAGAGAGCAAGGCTAAGGACGCAAAGCATTAAACGTACTGGTTGATGGTAGGACATTGAGAAATGGAGCTCTATAATAGTTTCCATTCTCTTTTCCATTCCTTCATTCCCTGCTAACAATCCGAACACCTTCATTTTATTGCACTTAGGGGTGAGGGCATGCAAATATGGGGCCATATTCTTTATCAGCATTTCCTTTGGGATGTTGGTGGAACAGCTCTGGCAATCCCGACAGGATGCCCTTGCAACTCCACCGTCTGCTATGCCGGTTGCTCAACCCTAAACCCTAAACCCTAAACCCTAAACCCTAAGCCGTGTGGCTGAACCTGGGGGAGTGTGGTGGGGCTGGAGGAGGCTAGGGCACCCATCAGAAGGCCCCAAACTCAGCATGCTAAAATCCTAAACCGTAGCCCAACACCCTAAGACCCTTAATTCCTACCCCCTAGAACCCTAACTAAACCCGTAATCCTGAACCCTAAAACCCCAAACCTCCTACAACTCTTCAACGGACCTCTTAACCCCCAAGCCCTCGGGCGCCCAGTCGTTTAATTCCCAGAAGCAGGTGGTCCTCCAGCTACAAGGCATCCCTACAGAGCTGGCTTTGAGACCTCGTGGTGCGCTGCCCGAGGCTGTGCGTCGGGCTTAGAGTATTTTGAAGATTATTTCAAGTTTGAAGTTGAGGGATTCGGGTTTGGGGCTGCTATGAGCTGTTGCGGGTAGGGTTCAGACATTAAGACTTTAAGAGTCTCAGTTTGGTGTTTAGAGAACCCAATACCTTGACCAAGGAATTTTCGTTGCGAGGCTATGTCGTGGTCTTGGTATGCATGGTGTGGGGATGTGTAGAGGTCCTAGTATCACTGAAGGTGCACCATAAACTGTGCCCCAAACCCCGAACCCTTCCCTTGACAGCGTGTTCGGCTCTCTGGGTTTATACAAAGAACTTTTGAGGGTCCGGAGTGTCTCCATAAGAGCGGTCTTCTCTTCTAGAAGGCACGAAGCCCCACACCCTAAACTCTAGATTCCTAATCCCCTGGGGACGGGCCGGCCCCTAATCTCCTCACCCCTTGAACCCTAGGCCCCAAACCCTATATAAACCCAATAACACCCCTTAAAGGGACCCTAGTCTTGGAAACCACCAGATGTTTTCTTGAAACCCTAGACCGTGTGAAAGTTGATGTGCAGCATGGGAGGCGAGCGAGTCTTGGGCCGCGATGAGGTCCCTGCCCCCGCAGCTGCTGAGGCTCGCAGGTTAGGGTTTAGGGTTTGGGAATTGGGATCAGATTTTATACCTACGTACTGATTAGGCGGTTTTGGGTTTAGTGAGTATAGGTCAATCAATGCCTACTACTTAGAGTGCTTAGGGATGAGAGATTGTAGGTTGTACCTACTAGTTGGGGGGGGTAGTTGCTACTAAGCTGTATGTGATTTCGGGATTCAGGGTTTAGGGGTTTCAGGGTTCAGGCTTTAGGATTT